TCTTGGGCTACAATGTTACTAGCTTGCAAGATGCATGGTTAATAATAACAGCAATATTAACAGTTGCATTTAGCAAGTACTTTGCACCAGGCACTTTGGTAGGCACCACAAAGTATGCTAGTACTATCCCTGTGTGACAGGTAAGAAAATTGGCTTTTCCAAGGTCCTCGAATACTTAACAGTAGAACGGAGTGGAGTACTCAGGTAGGTCTTTACTCTTACCCAGCATACCACACTGTCTCCACACTACAGAATTCTCTAAAGTTTTAGACCCCTGCTTTAAAGTTGTAGACCCCTTTTCTTTCTGGCAATGAAGGGAAAGAAATATAGGCTGATCATATGAGATATTACAGGGTTGCAGAGTCATAAACTAATCTTCCCTGATAAAAGAGAGTATCTTTTATCAGTGTACTCTCAATCTGTTCAATGTTCACTGTATTCCTGTGATAAACACAGTGCAGAGCTGAACAATGTGTTTAGTAATGGCAAGGGTACCTGTGACCGAGCCGTCATGTCTTCCCCACGCTAAGTTTGCTTAGCCCATGGGACACAGGAGAAACAGCTCTTCCATCTTTAATCTCAGGACTGGCCTGACCCCCTTCCTTTCTGACCACCCACAGAGAGACATCTAAGTGTTGAAGCTGTTTCCTCCATGTAGCCGGCTGGGTACTGTGGCTCATGCCTGTAATCTTGCACTCTGAGAGGCCGAGGCAGATGGATTGCTTGAGCTCAGGAGTTTGAGACCAGCCTGAGTAAGAGCAGTAGGTACCTTGTCTCTAAAAACAGCCAGGCATTGTGGTGGGCACCTGTAGTCCAGCTACTTGATTGGCTGAGGCAAGAGAATCACTTGAGCCCAAGTTTGAGGTTGCTGTGATTTATGACACCACAGCACTCTACCAAGGTTGACAAAGTGAGACTGTCTCAAAAAAGATAGAGTGCCCTGAAGTTGTCTGCCCCTCACTGGCCTGCCGGAAGATTCTGATGGCCAATGAACCCCGTATGATTCCCTGGTGGTCTTTCACCATGCTCCTTACACCACCCTGTGATGCTCCTCTCATGCTGCCAAGAAACTGACACGGCCTGGCAGGCTCTGTTTGCTTTTTACTCTATCTAACCCTGTTGACTGAAACCTCAAAAAAGGGGGTTGCAATAAAGAGCAAGCAATAACCACAGAAACGACGCCTAGTTAAGTGGAGGGAGCTTTGAGGGAAATGGAAATTAACTTGCTATTGACATGTGAAAATCATGGAAATCAACTCGCTATTGATTTGTGACAATCAAAAATCAATGGACTGGTAGAAAAATCAACCTGAAGAGACATAGGCAAAGAACCCTGAAGACCGTTTTAGAGAAAGTTAAGCCTGTTATTTTATTCTACAGCTCTAGATTTACATGGATTTTTTTGTGCTGTCGGAGAGGATGAAATAATTGAAGAGGCTAGATGGCAAATCTCTGTGATCCACACAATTTTTCCCTTTTGTATTAATTTGGGAAAGTATTCTGAATGACTTTCCATTTTTAACTGTTCTACTGAGCACAGCCCGTACCACAGCTCATGCTTTCATTTGAAAGGAAGGGGGGTTGTCAGTCAAACTGGATGAAATTGCATCTTTCATTTTGCTTAAATTATTTATAATTACTTATGTAAGTTTTTAAAGTATAAAGTTCAATACAGGCTAAGAGGATTGAACTTTTATCTACCATAAAATGTTAAATATGAACTAATTCATTAAAAACAAGCAGAATACAGAAAGAACAATGATAAATGTCAGTTTAATCAAATTAAAGTCAGAAATATAAAGCCTGGCTCCATTTTTCTTTTAATATCACTTATTTTCCTACTTTCTTTGCTTGATTTCAACACTCACATTATAATACACTTGTTCTGAGAAAGCAGCTGTGATTACAAGTCAGAATATGCATCTATAAGCCCTTAAGCACCATTTAAAATACTAAAATGTCAATGTTAATCTCTGATTTTAATAAAGAAAATTCTTGACATTGAATGACTACTGTTTCTCTTAACAATGCTAATTTTAAAAAGATGTTAAAATAAAATGTAGTAAAATTATTGCTTCCACAGTTAAGTTGGCACAATGTATACAAGACAGAATTGAGACAAAATTGCACCAGTTACACACTAATCGTTGTCCCTTCTCTGACATTTTATACAGCTATATAAGCCATCCTGTGATAGCCTTTATAATAAAAGGGTTGTTCTGCCATCTAGACACTTAAATTCTATACATGTTAAGATACATCGAACATGGATATAACTGTATTTAGGCACAGCAATGATTTAATAATTGGGTTCCATTTTTTACAAGTTAGGCAGTATAGTAAATGTTTGAAAAACCTTACTGTGAAGGTCTGTAAGTATATTATACTTTGCTAGATAATACAAGAAAATTCACAATGTAAAACAAAGAGTATTTATTTTCATTATTTTTAAAAAAAAAGCAACATTTCACAATCCCTGGAACTGTAAAATAGCTATTCTTTCAGTTTACAGAGTCAAGGGAAGCATTTTAAATGTCAAAATATACACAACGAACATGATTTAGCATATAAGCACCAAAAATCCAAAAAGTTTACAAAACTTGTTTAAACTACAAGGTGCATTTACTCAGGAATTACATTCAATTTGAGGGAAGACACAGTACCCCAAGATTCATTAATATTTAAGAACTGGCTGAATAGCTTCCAACTTGTTTCACAGTCAAATAACAAATACTGTTTTTATGTTTTCTTTATACAAACCTTCTAAAATTTAGGTTCCAAACTGAAGTGCTGCCTTATATTATGAAGGGCAGCTTGACCATTCAATTTGTTTATGTTCCAGTTTAAGATACTTCATGTACAACATGTATATAATTATTAAAAGAATTAATAAAATTAAAAGAAAATCAGTTATTTAGTGAATATCTACAGTTCACAAAAAAGTTAGATCTCCTATATTTTTATGTAGAATTGGGTATAAAGTTATTTTGGGTCCAATAAAATTGTGTTTTGAATGTTTTAAGCTTACCCAGTAACTAGGAGTTTTCTAAATATGCCATTATAGCTTTAGGCAATAATTCCTATTATGAAGTTAGACAAATTAAATACAGAATTAACCCGGTTTACTAATCAAAATTGTTGTGATACTAAAGCATGCCTTTTTCCAAACCACATGGTCGATGCTGATAACAAATAAGGAAAACGTATCGCTCTAAATATACTGACTCAGCTGTCCTGAATGATCTAACTGGGCTGGGGAGGGCCTTCGCCCGGTCCCCCAGATCTGGGGAGTTGCCACCTGTGGAGCTTCACTGTAGCTTATACAAAATCCAGCAAGCTATCCATGGTTTTACATGTCATCTACCTTTACACATTTACTCTTTACTGTGTACATTTAAAAAATAATTTTGTTGTGCTTTTCACATCTGACACACGTTTTCGCATCAAACATTTTATTTCTTCATTTCTTGGGAAGGGCAGAGGACAGACTATGAAACGGGTACATCAGGAGAGTCAGACGGTAAAGGAACATCACTCACACAACTAGCCAAATCTCTTTTTAATTTAAAAGATATTGTCATCACAAGGCAACATATGTATGTAAAAAAAAAAAAAAAGTCTTTTCTCTAAAATCCATATTATTCCATGATAGATTTTTCACAGCAATCAGCACAAGTATCACAATTTGTTCGATTATCCACTGGGTATGCTTTTAGAATTGAACTACGTCATCACTGCAATCTAAGCATTGTGCCTTTAGGGGAATGTGCTTAGAAATGGTTCAGTGTCTGCTCCTTATGATGGCTATTTACAATGCTATCTATTTACGTTAGCAATAAATAATCCAGATATCAAAAGAGACAATGCTCATGCACACACCAGGATGGCTGCATGCTCTTAAAATATTTACACGTCGGTGCTGCTTTCTCACTCTCCAGCAGTGAAGGTGCGTTTTCTCCATTAATCTTGCTTCTGAGGGATGCAGCCCTCCATCTCCACAACTTCGGGCCATCCTTCGTATTTGTTTGTGTCCTTATTGTTCTTTATGTGCTATTGGAACACAAGAAGAGTACACAGTTTAAAAAACCTCTGTGATTCACAATAACATGCTTTACTTACTCTCATTTAAGTAACTAACACTCATGTCAATGAAGAGTTCATACAAATTACTGCTCCCTGCCCAAGATATTAAACGAGTGATCCTCACAACCTGTCACATATATTGCAGACTTTCAAGTAACAGCTGAAGGAATAAAACAGTGAGATGTTTTTTAAAGGATCATTTGTTACTCAAAAAGTAAGCTGACATTCTATTAAGTTCTAAAGTGTTGTCAAACAACTGATTCTAATATCCAAAGTGCAAGGAGTAAAATCCTTAATAATTAATGCTTCCTAAAGTGTTTACAATAAAACAACTATATTTCAATGCATTGTCATGTAGGGGAAAAATTTTCCATGTAGAATTTTTAAGTTTCAGAGTTTAAAAAGTATGATGGCAATTTCAAACAATTGATTACCAAGAATTTATGACAAATACATGAATAAGATTATCTGCTTCACATAATTTTCAAATAACTGTTATGAGAGTATGTAACATAAGGCTTCACACAACTTGTTTTTGTTACTTATGAGAATCTAAGACACTAACCTGTTCAAAAGGGCTTTTTGTCTTAATGCCCTTCCCACCACAGAAGACCCAGTTGTCTCTAAAACCAAGATTAGTAATAGATGTACTCCCCAGTTCAGCAATGAGCCGCCGCGCCTCATCGTTGAGTCTTTAAGAGGGAAAGAAGGAATATAACAATAATAAACAATGGGTACTGCACATTTACATAACTGGTTCACCTAGGACATTGAACACATAAATGAGAACATGTAACTTCAGAGAATATTTTAGGGGAAAAAAAGGAAATGTTTTTATAGAGGAACATTCCTACTATTTGAATTTCTTGAATACAAAAGACATTAAATCCAGCAATTAGTTTTAAGTTTATTCTGTTAGTAAGTACCTTTTAGATGTCTTTATTTAATAGCAATATTTCACTTTAACTATGTTAAGTACATCCATCAAATAAATAAGGGATACTGTAGTCAGTAGATGCCTACCTAGGCTAATCCAAGGTTGTAAGCAACCAATATCTTTATAGAATGAATCATGATTTTGAATTTCTACTAAATCATTTGTAACAACATATGAGCAGAATAAAGGTAAATGCTGACAGAAATCTGCGTGTTCCTCACACCGTTTTATTTAAAAGAAAATGACTTTGAAAATAGGGATATAAATTGCATTTCAGTGATAACTCCCCAATGATTACTTTAAAAAATGAAAGTATTAACCACATGCCAGTTAAATATCTATCACAACAATTTTTATGCTAGAGAGAGACTCCTTAAGATTATCAGCTAAGACCTGTTTTCCTGCTTCTAAATGCTGTTAGGATGCCATGGATCCAGAAGACTGTCAAATTCCACTCACAGTTTATCCAAATGTTTTACTTCCAGGTTACTTTCTTAGAAGCCCACATTTGCATCGTCAACATTAGCAGATGAGTTTTGCTGCTCTAACAAGAATAAACAGCACTAAGATGCAGAGGGCAGGCAGTCAGCTCACTGTCAGCTAAGTGGACTTCCTTCTACAGAGAGGGTTTGGAGCGCCATTCATGTTTACATCCCAGAAAAATCACAAACTGGCACCTCACGGACCTTTGGGGTTGCTCATAAAGAGCTGAAACAATCAATGTTAAGTTCACAAATGACAAGAGAAGATTGCTTTATACACAAAAGCTGCCTGCAAACTAGATGATGGTCAGAATGCAAGTCTAGCTCTCCGTAAAAAGCAAGTAAAATATTTATCTAAAGATTTTACAAAAACTAAGAAATATATTGAAGGGCAGTCATTTAATACTTTTGAATTTCAGAAGGGATCATTATGATCTGCCAAAATAAACCAAGCTCATTTAGCCAGAGATCTAGAAGCAACTTGACGATTTAGCTTTATGTTTGCCTCCATTAATCTCTTGCTTTACTTTTCCATGAGAACATCAAGAGCCTGTGGATAAAGGCAGTAATGTGGCAGGCCTGAGTTTCCTACGCTTAGAAAGTCCTGCAAGCAAGACCGACCCTTGGCTGGCATTTGGACGCTTGGATTTGGCAAGGCGTCCGCCACTTTCGGAACTGGTAAGAATAGTTTATTGGGCCTAAACAATGTAATTGATGCTGAACACTTGGTTTTTTGTCTGGGAGGCAGGAGTTTTGGGCTGGGTTGGGCAGAGGGTACCTGCATGACAAGCCCGCAATTAAATCCCTGGCCATTGAGTCTCTAATAAGCTTCTCTGTAGAAAATACTTCCCCTGTGCTGTCATAGTTTGTTGCTGGAAGAGATAAGCATGCCCTGTTTTGATTCTGCTTGGGAGAGGGCTCTTGGCCACTTGAGACTGTTTCCCTCTAGACTTTGCCTCATGAAATGTTTCGTTTTGCTGATTTTGCTATAACAAATCATAGCCATGAGTCCTACTAGGGAATCATCAAAACTAGGTGTGGTTTGGGGGACCCCGCCCACCATATCTCTATGCAAATCTATTTATAGTTTAACCTTTCTGATCTGCCTTTGCAAACTTTGATGGATTATTTTATTTTTCCTTTTAGATATCTTCTATTTAAGTAAAAATAATTTCAAGTTTCAAAAGAGTTTAAAAACATGCACCATACCCAGTACTTTGAGACATGCATTAAACATATAGGAGGTGTCAAAAGGTCCCAGTTCTTTAAAACCCAGAGCAACTAATAGGCTTACGTACATGCAGCATAAAATTGGGAGAAATAAGCTTTTTATTCTATATAAGAGCATCATGAATTTTTTTGCATATATTTTAATTCTTATTAATGGTCTTAACTGGTTGAGTAGTTAAAAAAATAAGGTCACATTATTTTAGTAAAGAATTTTCCTTAAAATGAATAGAAGACTATCCAGTGATGAAAACAGGAAGGCATTCCTAACAACACAGGGATAATCTGGAACAGGAAAGGAGAAGTGGGGGCAGGAGACGGGGTCCCTGGGTTCTACCTCTATCCACACTGGGAAAGGGGGCACATCTGACAGTCCCATAGTCAAACTGTCAAACCGTGCCGAAGCCTCTTTTCTGGAAACACAGAAAACAATAGGAAGAACTGATTTCTAGGTTCAACTGTGATGAAGAAGGAAGAACCGGGTGGGAAATAGAAATCAGGAACTTCAGAAGAAAATCACCATACTGCTGCAGGGGTTTGAAGAATAAGAAATGCTCAAAGAGGACATATTGTAAAAAGTTCAGAAGAGGGAAGTGACTGTTTAAAAACAAAAATCCCCAATAATTTGCACTATAAAAGGGCTAACAATTCCAAAAAAAAAGGGAGGACAGTTTCTAAATTATTGCTACTACAGAATTGTCCTAAAATGGGCTCAAACTTAAAAAAGCAAGCATACAAAAATACAAGGAAAACCACATTACTAACAACAAAACTATGAATACTAGCACCAGGAAGACTCAGAATGAGATGAGACTCATAAAACTATCAAAGGCCACAGAGCGAACTTTTGCTGCTGAGTGTGAATAACGAAGGGAACTGCTGTTCTCAAGAAGAATGAAGTAAAATCAACAGATCAAAGCATGGCTGCCCTTTCCAGGGATGCAACATTCTTCCAAAAACACAAAAAGGAAATAGTAGCTCAAGAAAGTCTATACATGATACAAACAGTTTAAAATAAAGCCTTTTGGATTGTAGAGGATCTTGTTAATATAATCTTGCAAGGTAGTATCAGTTATTTAAGATGCATCATAGAAAATGCTAAGACATTAACTGTACTATTCTGGTTTATAAAAAAAGCAAGGTAAATTTTAGAAAAAAATTTTGTTTCCAATAAAACAAATTGCAATTTCTAGCAAAATTCTAGAAGGAATGACAAGGAGACTGTGTGAGCATTACAAAGCAAGAAGAAAAGGGGGGTAAGTGGGAAGAGAGAGAGAAGTAAAGCTAAGTTAACGTTACCTTGGCCTGTTCAGCTTTCAGAGTTTTCAAGCAGTATTGTAATTAGCATAGCACAGTACATGAATTTCAAGTGAGCATCTGATAGTCTCAGAAAATAACCTCAATGAATAAAATAATGAAACAGCAGCTGGGTAGTATGTCGATTGGGCTACACTGGCAGCTATTTGAAAGTAGTTTCTGCAGTTGATTAATAGATCATGAATTCCTTGGAGGAGGCCTCTAGCAGGGTGGCACACTGCCCTTGATAAACATTTTTATCAATGACTTATATGTAGACATAAGAATGACTTTGGAGAGAGTACAAAGCCTGGATCATGAAAACCTCATAGGACAAATGTCAGAATCAAGACCAAGTGGGCCCAAATGAGCAAAATTAAATTTAACAAGGATAAATGCATATAGTCTCTCACTTAGATTAAACAAAATTAAGTTTGAATGGAGAGAAAAACCTGACTTGGCAGTGGTTAAAAAAAAAAAAGTCTGAAATCAAATGAAAAGATCTAAGTATTTAACTTGACCAAAATCTCATGAGCCAAAAATGTGATGTGACTGTTTAAAGAAAACTAATACAGTACTAGTCTGCATGAATATTCAAAGAAATGTAATCGCTGAAACATGGCAAGCTAGCATCGGCACTGTACCCTGCCCTGGCCAGACCACATCTGGAACACTGCTGACTTGGTGTACTCATTTTAAGAGAGACAATAATAAACTAGAGAATGCCCAAGAAATATAGCCAGGAGGCTAAAACAAACTGGAAACTTCACATGATAAAAGTTCAAAAAGCCATGTGTATTGAGCCCCAGAAAAAGAAAATTAAAAGAGAAATACTGATTAACTTTAAATACCTGAAGCAGTAAACGATTTGAGGAATACATTTACTGGCAGAAGTCAAAGGGAGATCACTCTGAGAACCTAAAACTTATGATCATTTTGTTTTGTTTTGTTTGTTTCAGATAGAGAAATGGCCGGGGTATGAGCACCAGTATAGATGAGAAGTTCAGTAGAGAACAGAGAAGTTCCAAGAGAATCTTCCTCTGGGTAAGATTCTAGTAGTTCTAGTGACCTTTAAGATTCCTTATTACTCCATAATGTCCACTTTTTCTTCTACTCTTGTTCTGTTGCCCAGGCTAGAGTACTGTGGCATGATCACAGCTCACTGCAATCTTGACCTCCTGGGCTCAAGCAAGACTCCTCCTGACTCAGCCTCCTGAGTAACTGCGACTACAGGTGAATACCATCAAGCCCAGGTGTTTTTATTTTTGTAGAAGGTAGGTCTCACTACATTGTCCAGACTGGTCTTGAACTCCTGGCCTCAAGCAATCCTCCAGCCCATGTCACATGCCTAGCCAAGACCATAGCAAAATTTAACTCACTCAAAATATTATATTCTTTATTAGATGAAAAAACCAAAAAACAAATTATTTTAATGTGAAAATGGATGGAAAGTGGGCATTATTAGAGATTTACACTCCTTGAGGTACACATTTTCTTAGACAAAGTTTTTTCTGTTTTGTTTTTTAAATGAGCTTTGTAGCTAAAGTCAAGAACACTGTGATAAAGAGATGTAAAGAGGTTTTCTTTAGGGCAGAGCCTTTCACTGTAAATCCAAAAAAGGACCAAAATCCATGGCACCATCCTCAACTTATTTCACCATTATATGTACCTGTAAAAGACTGGGGTTCTAGGGAACAGACTTTGGGAAATGATGTGATGGACACCACTCTGGTCAATCTGCTGAAACTTACAGTACTGTCAAGGGGATCATCATATTTGTAGTCATTAGAAAGCAACGAACAACACAGAACTGGGTACTGCTTTCCCAAGGCAACATGCTGCCCAACTATCCATTTTATGCCCTAAATACCCTTAGGTATAAGTGGAAGAAAAAGAATTCAGTATAAGGTAAAACCCAGTGGCCTTAGGTGAGAAGCCATAGCACTTCAGCAGCAGGAAGCAGCACTCTCACTCAGGTGTGAGAGGGAGTGCACCATGGCTGATGGATCACAGCGAATTTCTACATTCAAACACCTGCCAACCACAAACTAAAAGTTACTGTAAAATTGAGATTGTAAACACATTTATATTTTGTTACATTTAACACATGTAGACTGCCTTTCATAAAGACTATTTGACCATTTCAGTATAAATGGTATGATGTTCATAGTTTATTTTACTAGTGTTTAAAGGAAGAAAATACTAGAACTGTAAGTTCATGTGCTTTAAAATGAAAATACATGCAATCCAATTCATTTAAATGCACAGAAGTTGAATCATATATTGACCAAGTGTAAAGACATCAACGTTTAAATTTCTACTTTTACCTTGTAAGGCTGAACCCTTTTCTGAGGCTGCTTTTGATGCATTGAATGAATGAGTACCAAAAAATAGCAGCTAAAGAGTAAGCATCATTCCTGCCTCAGTTCCTGGTGTGGCTACGGTTTGTTAGTAGTACATCAGCCAATTAAAGGGAACGGTTCTTATCAGGTGTAACTATGAAATAATCTGGTGAAGAAAAGCAGTCATGTGTCTATTCAAAGAAGTGGGGGTTTTTGGTTTTTTTAATGTTAAAAATCTCAAATTATATATATAATACCCTCTTTTCTCAGCAAAAGCAAAGTAGCAAATCACTTGTTTTTTGATAAGGAAAGCCTAATTACATTCTCTTTCATTCTATTTAGTTATATGGAAATGGTTGATGATGCTAATTTTATGTTAACCTTCAATTTATGGATTTAAGGTAGCCTTAGTTGAGTCAGATTAAAGGTACCGATGTCAGTAGCTTAGAGCCCTCTTAAAGCAGCACTGTTTCCTTAGTGTTAATCTGCAGTAATAAAGCTATACACTAAGTATATTTATAGAATTCAATACACAGAAAGACATTGCACGTTCCTGTGTGGCTCTTGTAATATTAGGGATTTTTAAATTAAAATCTATATGGGATGTTTTTTGATCTTGATAAACCATCTGGAGAAAATATCATAGAAAACATTTTTAGAAAGACTATCAAAGGGGGTATACCAGAGAGGTATAAAGTACATTAATTTTTATAAAATAGTTATACAATAATTGAAATAATATCTTTTGGGAACAGAAATAAATAGGTCAATAGAATAGGACAGATTCCAGAAACAAAGCCAAATGTACATAAGAACCTGGTGTTACACCACAGGCACTGTAAGTCTCCATTACAAATGGAGTTTTAAAAATACATAAAAACAGTGAAATCACTGGAAAATAAGATTTGATATCTACTTAGAGATGGACAGATACTTCTCAAGTAGAAAAGAAGTTTGTAAGAAACTAAAAGGAAAATCCAGAGACTTTACTACACAAGAATTAGTCTGAACATATATAAGTCAAAAAGTATCATGAATTAAAAAAATTAAAAGCAAAAGATGTGCCAAAAACAAAACAAAAACAAAAACAAAAAACATTTTTAACACAAATAATGGTTAATATTCTTAATCTATAGAAGGCTTAACAAATCAATATAGGTCAACTTGACCTATATTGGTCAAAAGACAATTATTTAATTTAATCTATAGAAGGCTTAACAAATCAATATAGGTCAACTTGACCTATATTGGTCAAAAGACAATTATTTAAAAAAGGGGGCTAAAACCATCCCCTCAAAAGGAAAAAATGCAATCTCATTAATAGTCAAAGAAAGTCACATTAAAACAAAGTATATTTTCAAAACTCTTAGAATTGGAGCTTTTAAAAACTCAATCATTAGCGCCATTGAACTTTTGAGTAAAATAAAATAGGTATACAAACTCTTTTTTTAAAAGGTATAACTTTTAACTCTGCAATTTCACTTAAAAAATAAAATCTACCTCAAGGAAATAGACATATTTCCATGTTCATAGTTCCATAGTGCATAGTGCATCTTGCAAATTATGAAGACTGGCAATAGCCTAAGAGTTGAGCAATAGGCACCCTACTGAGCAGATTTTAAGTCATAATGCAAGTTTAAAAAGAAGACATGGCAGATATGTACAATTTTGTAATGAACAATATTTAATGTTATAGGAAAGTATTTACCACATTAGTAAAAAGCTATAAAAACTATCATTTATCATTTCAAGTATTTGAAATGAAGAAAATATGTGCATTTAAGTCATCTAGAATGGAAACAAAAATATTATGAATGGTTATCTCTAAGTAGTGATTTGAATTGTAACTTTGTTTTCTTCTTTGTGCTTTTCTACATTTTCTAATTTTTTACACATATACAATTCTAAGGAACAAATTAACAAAACTATCATCTATTAGAGTTTATGAAAATTATATGACTGTATCTTGGACAATTTATTCTACTTTTAGAAATTTATGCTAGGAACACAATCAAAAGTGCAAAGAAAAAAATCATGTAAAAGGATGTTTATCACAATGTTACTTATAACATGAGAAAGTTGGCAATAGTAGGGGAATTTTTAAAAAGAAAGGTGAGCCCAGATGATCAAATGTTGATAAACCGTAAAAAATGCTACTGAAGAATATTTATGTCAGGAAAAACAATTCAACATGATAAAGAAAATATAAAAAACTGTATGTATAATATTGATTAAAATACAACAATACATGCATAATAAATATTTACATAGACAGATAGGAAGGAAGCAAACCAAAAAAATACTAATTGTGGTCATCTAATAGTTGAATTACTTTGCCCTATTTTACAAACTTTTTCAATGAATATGTATTGCTTTTATGATTACCAATTACAGCTCTAAAAGGTTGAACAAAGTTTTGAGTTTACGTACTTGGTTGCTCCATCATCGTATGTTCCCATCAAGACTATTGTTCCATCTTGTATGGCCTTCAGAAACTCAATAAATGGTGCCACATCTGAAGAAAAAGAAAAAACTTGAGGATTTTTTAAAATGACTTGAGTAACCCTCACACAATCTCTACAATTATAAAATATGAAGTATCTGTAAATCAGTTAATTTCTAATATAATCCAAAAGTGGTCCGAATTTTCTAAAGTGCTTAAAAATTGTCAAATTTGTTCTCTATATGATCCCACCATCAATTTATAATTTCCCAATTCTGATTATCCTGTCATTTATACTGACATTCCTAAAGCTAAGTCAAAAAAACCACAGCAAAGGTATGTTAAACCATGACATATAAAGTAAAAAAACTTAGAGATCTCTCAGATACAAACAGCTGAGACCATAACAAATCTGACTCTGGCATCCCCTGGGTAACTTTCAAAGGGGCTCTTGGATTTAAGGATCATGTAAGCACCTCTACTTGCTATAAACGGGGGGAAGGAATGTAGGCTATCATTAAAAGCCAAACTAATTATGGCAAATATTACAGACACTACTTATTTCATCTAGTAAATCAAAATCAACAAAGACTACAAAAAAAAAAAAAAAAAAACCAAACCAACAACACTTCAGTAGTATCAAACTGGTGATGCCAAATAGGTCAGGTATTACAAAGCATTTTACATCTTCAACTTTACAGCTCCCAAGTCTAAGGCCAGTTCAAAACCAAATTACTTCAAATTTACTCACTTTCTACAGCAGAAAGAGTCCAAAGATTTTCTATAATTGACTATATTTTATAATAGTATTTTCAATGCAAAAAAAATGTAACCAAGTAGTCAACAAACTGCTCCCATTTCAATGCAAGGATGGCTATAAATGGCAACTATTTCTTAACTGGAAGAGTTTCTTCAGCAGAGATTATCTACCTGCGATAAGTGGAGTGGGGAATACCTGAGCTTCTGGTCATGTGTTTGATTTCAACAACAGCTGTGTAACAGTGTTTCTGTTAGTAAATTTTGCTAGGACACATTATGCCTTTAGAAACTAAAATTGATGGTAACATTTTAAATTTATACAGCTTGGACAGCTATGAAATGTTCCTCTAATTTCACTTAAGAAATAAATAACACGTGGTATCTTATTACAAGCTGAAGAAATTTTAGAAAAGTTATACTAACTGAAGACCTTTAGCAAGAGTTTCAGGAAGCCTAATAGCTCTGGGCTCCTGGGGAATGTATATAAGTGGCCTGGGGAGATGCAGGGGAGATCCTCATGCTGATAAACTTCCCAAGCTAACATAAAGAAGACTCAAAAGATGGGTGGTGCCTGTGGCTCAAAGGAGTGGGGCGCTGGCCCCATATGCCAGAGGTGGTGGGTTCAAACCCAGCCCCAGCCAAAAACAGCAAAAAAAAAAAAAAAAGAAGAAGAAGAAGAATCAAAAGATTCATCATGTTGGCCTTCCTTGAAATGTGAGGAAGAAATCTCCTAGTTCCCGACAGCATTCCTCTTTGGGGTGCCAATCCCCGGCCCTGGCATGCGGTCATTTCTTCCACTCCTTAGAAGACTTCTAAATACACGAGGGGAAAATATCTGTGGATTGCTCTAAGTCCAGTAAATGAGATAGAAAATCCTATTCCTTCTCTAAAACATTCATCTATTTTGAAAATTAGTCAGAAGTTAGACTGATATTCTAAAACCTGACAGTTTCTCCTGTATGTCTGAATGCTCCTAGTTATGACTTATTTGTGAGACTGAAAAATCTCATGTAAAGAAATCAATTCTATCAGTCAAAAATGCTTAAAATGGTTATGCTCGACTTCAAACTACTAATTCTTTTTTTTTTTTTACATTTCAGACAGAAACCTAAAGGATTCCAAAGCTTTTGAATTAGTTTTCCTGCAGAACATTGGATTTAGATATTTTCAAAACACAATTATAAGAGGGACTTTACCAAACAAATGAAAAGAACGTAACCTGGTTCTTTGTACCCTCAATGAATCCCCAACAATAAAGAAAATAAAATATTAGATATTTTTGATATTATTCAATTCACACCACGAATAATTTTTCTAACAAAACAAAGTATACATAATGTGACTTAAACATGGCTGGACATTTAGTGACAAGACAGAAACAAAATGAACACAGACAGCATCATTATTCTCTCTGTCATGGGCTACATTATATTGAGGTGATTCAGCAACAGTACACAGAGTTGTTATTCATTCTTACCTCCTCCCCACATGTCAAAGTATTTAGTGTCTAATACTTCTCCTGTTTTTCCTGAAAGAGATTGGATTCATATAAAATTATGCAACTGAAATATACCATACTCTGTATAAAACAAATGATTTTATACCATGATTAATGCGAATTCATAAGCAAAGAAGGAATTATTTTGAGACCTTAAAAATCTTACTTGTTTGAGTATGAAATATGTTTTTATTTAAAGAGTGATTTTTAATACGACATTCTCATTAATCTTTTCTACCAAAGAGTGGCAAACAGAAGTTCATCACTGACTACAAAACACTCCAATTCAAAGTTAGATATATTTCATCCTTGTTACCATCTTTCCTTATTAAAGAATGACCCCCAAATAAATCTTTTACAAAAAAGAAATATCTGCTCAAATAAGAGGCCACTTGTTATACTAAAGTCATTTGAAAATAAACTTTACATTTATTTTCCTTTTAAAACGTATTTTTTGCTACTAAATAAACATATTAAATGTTTTACCTAAGAAAATGAAAAAACAACTACCTCTTGTGAAAGTAGTAAAATGTATTTTCCTACACAATGAACTGGGTAAGTGGCTGATGGTTTCCAACCCATCAGTTTTAAGGGATACTTACTGCATCAGAACAGAGAGGATCAGAGTGCAGTTAGGCCTCACCTAACGGGTTCAGTTATTAGTTTTGATTTTGCAAGAACACCGAAACGTTAATAATTCAATGAATTTATTTATACCAGCAGAAAAATGTGGCCAATACTGAAAATTTATAATAAACTCTCACTCTGTCCCTTCCCCTACCCCATTCAATTGCCCACCATCCTTTGTCATTCAACACATCTTCATTCCTGTCACCCTAACTTCATATTATGACAGGACTCCAAAATTTGTAGCAAGATTTCATCCGCATTTGATTGCTCTGTTTTCTGACAATCTCATGAGAAGTTCTCTACAGAGAAAAACAGAGAGCTAGGATGCTTTAAAAAAAAGTGTGCTATAAATAGACACCAAATCCCCATCTACAGAGGATTTGGGGGTTGCAGAAAAGGAGGGAAGTCTTTAGCATCAAGAGTGTTAATTTCTAACCTGACCCCTTGATAGTAGAGTACATTTTACTTTGGGGCACAAGATTACCCACTGACTACCTGTATAAGCTAAAATTTTTCTTACCATTTACTAAGGCAACATTAATTCCTCTTCCAACATTATTCTTAACACCACTCATTAAACTAAAGGGGGAAAGGTCAAAAGAAATTTAGGATTAGATACTGCACATGAGCATACAGAAATAAAGTCATGTGAAAACAGGATATTACATAAATGTTCAATTGTTCAGCAATGCAGAGGGAATTATAAGGTCTCTACTAAGTCAGGGAAGATAGTCTAATGTTAATTTTAAAATAATGTCCTTAAATACATATGAAGAAAGCATTTGGCCTGAGATACTAGACTATTTCTTGCTGCTCTGCATCAGATTATGAAATAGCATTTTAGAAAATCCTTAAAATATATGGACATTAAGCAGAGACTCTGCACCATTCTCAAGGGATCAAACAACAATCTCTTTTCTACTTTCTGCAATATCAGTCTGACATGAAACAGAAGTAGATGCTATCCCAAGCTTTTATAATCAAAAGCAAGGGTAGGGAAATACTCTTTCATGAATGTTTTACCTAAGTGAATATTCTCTTGGTAATTATCAATGTGAAGTTTCTCTACACTCAGAAGAAGGAATGCTGTATTCTTATAGCTACTTATCTAATAATGGTCTGCCTGAGCCATCTGACATCTATGGTTGCTCACCAGCTATTACATAAAGACAACGGCATTGTGAAATGGAAGGCATCAGCAATGTATTTGCTATTCACTTCAGTTTCATTTATTAAACTAAAATTGTGGGTACCTTTATTAATTGTAAAATGTCAAGGTAAAAGTAATATTCTCAGCAGGGTATTGTTAGATGTTTACCAACTGGGTGGTATAAGGTTAGGGAGAGTGATTGTAGGCATATATATGACGACACATACACACATGCATCCATATGGTGATATATTTGTGTATGCCACAGGCACACAGACACACACACATATATATATATAGAGAGAGAGACAAAATTTATTATCGATGTTACTGATATAAAGAATGTATTTTTAATTTCACAAATAAAATCTATAATACTTTGCTATAAATTCCACATAACCAATTGATTCTCACAGAATGTGCCAGTTGATTAATACAGAACTCATACCTGCAGCTAAATTATGGTTGCAACTGAGATATTAAAACAGCAAAGATTTACACTGAACTTCACTCTTCTGTCAATAATGTGAGCAAAGTCTTTACTGAATCTGTTTTCAAATATTAAAAGGGTATTCCCTTGATTTTTCACAATATAAATTATTCACAATATAAAAAGCTATGACATGGCATACTTTTAAGTTTAACCTTCGTAACTAATATTTTCGCCATCACTTTCTTAAGTCTAGACCAGGCGTCCTCAAACTATGGCCCACGGGCCACATGTGGCCCACCTAGGACATTTATTAAGCCCGCTGGGTGTTTTTGCCGCCACTACCTGTCCTGCTTAGCAGCTGACTCATCCTGGGGCCCGCAGTCTGGCCCTGAGGGACAATGAACTGGCCTCCTGTTTAAAAAGTTTGAGGACCCCTGGTCTAGACCTTGAGTCTGCAAACTTTTTTCTATAAAGAGTCAGACAGATCAATCACTAAAAGCTATACAAAGCAATATACTCAAACACTATAAATAAATCAAAAAGAAATTCTAAAAAATATTTGTGTAACTCACAGGAAGGTAGGAAAAAAAACCTCAGAGAATAAAATAATAACAAAATGGCAGAGCCTCACATATCAACAACAATCATAATAAAGGTAAACAGCTTAAACATACCAAATAAAGACAGAAACTGGCACAGTAGATTAAAACAGAGCCTAAGTCTACACTGACTTTAAAAAACTCACTTTAAATATAATAATATAGATAGTGGAAAATAAAAGGATAGGAAAAGATCTATAATGCAAACATTAATCTAAAGGAAGATTAAAACTCGCTAATAAAGAAATAACCCAATTTAAAACTGGGCAAAGGGTTAGAGTGGACATATCTCCATAGAAGTTATACAAATGGCCATAAGCACATAAACACATGCAAGACATCATTAACCACTAGAGAGAGGCAAATTAAAACCACTTCATAACTACTAGAATAGCTACAATCAGCAAGTCTGATAATCACAAGTGCTGGCAAGGTGCTAGAGAAACTGGAACCCTCATATACTGCTGGCAGAAAGGTAAACAGGTTCAGTCACTTTGGGAAATGATCAAACAATTCCTCCAAAGAGTTAAACGGAATTATCATCTGAACCAAAGTCCATTCCCCTGAGTATACAGAGAAATGAAACATGTCCAAACAAAAATACATACAAAAATATCTGCAGAAACATTACTCATTATAGCCAAGAAGGCGAAATAACTCCAATGTCTGTAACTGAAGAATGGATCAACAAAATGCAGTCTAACAGTTTCACGGTACCAGGGCACATTATTCCGGCATAAGAAGATCATGAAGTGCTGATAGATGTTACAGAGGGATGAACCGTGAACACACTACGCTAAGTGAAGGACCCAATCACCATAGATCACTGTTACACACCGTTTATTTAAAACATGTAAAGCAAGCAAATCTATAAGGACAAAAAGTAAACTAGTGATTACTTAGGGTGTGGGGGTGGGGAAGTGGAGTGCGGCAGGATCAGAGAGATTTAAGGAATGCTGGCAAAAAGATGCTGTTTCTTTTTTGAGGTACAAAAAGTTCAGAAATTGACCGTGGCAGACATTGAACACATCTGTGACTATACCAAAGTCCTCTGACTGTATACTTGAAACCAAAAATCACATTACAACAAAAATATTTGTATCAGAATGTTTATTGCAGCCCAATTCATAATTTCCAGGTCATGGAAGAAGCCCAAGTGCCCATCGATCCACAAATGGATCAACAAACTGTGGTATATGTACACCATGGAATACTATGCAGCCCTAAAGAAAGATGGAGACTTTACGTCCTTCATTTCACATGGATGGAGGTGGAAAGTGTTCTTTTTAGCAAAGTATCACAGGAATGGAAGAAAAAGTATCCAATGTACACAGCCCTATTATGAAATTAATTTATAGCTTTCATATGAAATCTATAACCTAATAACAGCCTAAGTATATGGGGAGGGGGTAGGGAGAGGGGAGGGGGAGTGGGTGGCAGGAGGTGTGATTGGAGGGATCACTTCTATGGTTTATCTTATAAGGGTACAAGTGAATCTTTCTAAGAGTAGAATATGATTGTCTTAACGCAATAACTAAGAAAATGACATGAAGGCTATGTTGCCCAGTTTGATGAAAATATTTCAAATATATATGAGAACACCACACTGTACCCCAGAATTGCATTAATGTACACAGTTATCATTTAATAAAAAAAAAGAAAAAAAGTATATGATACGTGAATTATATCTCAAAGCTTTTTTAAGAACTAGTTTTGACCATGTACATAAAATGGTCTATGCTTTATTATATGACTGCACCAAAGAAGAGGTCAGTTTCAAAACACTCTAATACTTTCAGAAACATTTTATATAAGCATACTATATCATTAATAAGAAGCAACAACTATGATTAATTTGCTAGATTAATACTTTTTATTTCAAAATATTAAGGGTGCTAGATTAATAATTAAGTGCCACAGCAACTTTTCTAAGAAGAGACTGTGTTTAAGTCTGATGTTGTATTTAATAAACTGAAATCTATCATAAAGCTAAGAAATAAGAAAGCACAATGCCGTAGGCTTCCCACAAGAGGGCAGCAGCCCACCAATGTTTAAAAATGAATTCAAACCACTAACAAATGAAAAAACGACTGAAGATTTAAAGTGTATAAAGGCTAGTCACCACCCTTACTAATACAAGGTGAAATTGCTTTATCCTTCTTGGATACAGTGGTCACTTCCCCACTCAATACCTCTGGGCAAAAATCTAAAGGCAATGATTATATAATCTGTAGATGCAGTCTACATCTTCACACATAGTTCTGTTTCAAAGTGCTACTATATGGTCCATCTACTACTTCTTAAAATGACTAGTTTAAAGCAGAGTTTGGCAAGCTATAGCTCAGGGGCCAAATCCAAACAATTGGGGTTTTTGTTTGTTTTGTTTTAATTTTACTACTAATGAGCTTAGAATGCTTTTACATTTTTAAATGGTTACATTTTAAAGGATTATGTGAATACCTAGTTAATAACTTGATTTTATCTCTTGACTCTCACAGCCAAAAAAAGAAAAAGAAAACCATCTGGTCAACAGTTTAAAAAAAAAAAATCACTCAAAATAGTTTCCTATCTATTTTTGTACCAAACATTATGATCATAATAAAAGGTAGTGAATTATTCCTAACATCAACTTCATACAAACTGAAATCAAGTGACTATATGCCTGAAAGGTAAAAGCTATCATCTGAATATAAGTCCTATGAGTTCTCCAAAGCAAAAGGGAAAAAACCCCAAAGCTGAAATTCCTGTTTATATGATATCATGTGGTTTATACCCAGGATTTATTATTTCTGAGACACTGAAAACACATCTTAATCTCCATAACATATCTTGGCTTCTTCTGCTAGTCCTTAAAACCATAACCACCACCCTAATCTTGATTACCATCTGTCCATCTCTGAGTCTCTCAATCTTGGTGTATCATTATATTAAGGGCGTTGGTACATGTGATACTGTTATGGGTTGAATGGAGTCCTCCTAAAAACATGTATTGGAGTCATAACACCAAATAAAGTCAGAATGTGACCTAATTTGGAAACAGGGCTTTTACAGAGATAGTCAAGTTAAAATCAAATCATTAGGATGACCCTTGATGTGATGTGCCTGGTGTATAAAAAAGAAGAAATTTGGAAGCAGAGATAGACATGCACAGAGGGAAGCAGTGTGAACAGACAGACACACAGGGAGAACACCATTGCCTGAAGATACAGGCAAAAACTGGTCATCTCCAAGCCCAAGTTTGCTGTCAAACCACCAGAAGCGAGGAGAGATGGAACAGATTCTCTCTCACAGTCCTCAGAAGGAACTAAACCTCTGGAAACCTCCACCTCCACGTAGGATTTCTGGCCTCTGTAACTGTGGAACAATAACATTTGGTTGTTTTAAGCCACTTAGTTTGGGGACTTGGTTATGGTGGCCCTACAAAACTAATACTAATATTAATACTAGTTTTAATAATTATACTGCTGACCCTTTTAACCAAATTTCCACCTGATTCCTTGAGCACAGTTCCCTTACTTAGCTTTTGTGTCTTCCATTTTAAGTTCCAGAGTCCACATCTGAGCCTCAAACCATTCATTCCTCCAAAGCCCTACCAGAAAACTGCAGTCAGCCCTGGTCAGCAGCAGATGCAGCCAGACCTCAACCCGCATCTCTTTTTCAGCACAGCTCTGTGGCATCCTTGCCCTGCAGCGGGATTACTGTGTACTTTCCCAGGTATATCACTGGATTGAGTCTCATTCATCATTGAGTTTTAGTGCCCAGTATGGTGTCTGGCATAAAGAAGTGCCGCAAATAATGTGAATTTTCATTAAAAAAAAAAAAAAAAAAAACTTATATGCTTCAAGGGGGCAGAGTAGAAGTCCAAAGACATAATCTGTGGACTATTTATTCTATAAGAATTTTTTTTTTGTTATTTAAAATCAAACTAGGGTTCTTTTTAGCCAAAGAAGATGAAAAGGGGAAATAGGAATGTTTTCTGAAGCCTACAAACTTCTAAAATCCCAGTGCTTTTATCCTAATCCATAAAACATGACTATTATAATGAGAAATCAGAAGACAATGGATTAACAGTGGATCATCATTAGAATGAGGGAAAAGATATGGGAAATGGGTAGAGACCTCAAAGATTATCTAGCTTAAGTACTTAATTTTATAAGAAAAATGTGGTCTCATAAAGACAAGGAACTTTGTCATAGCTAAATAATTGCAAAAGGGGCAAAGATAAAAAGTTGCCAAAAGTTGGCAAATGTAGAGAAAATGGGAAACGGTAGCTAAATGCACCTTTATTTAAAAAATATGCATCACAAAACTTTACAGAAAGGTGGTCAACATGTAAAGAATATCTTGTAAAGATTTCGTAAAATTTTGTAATGCATATTTTTGTAAATAAAGGTACATTTAGCTAACCATTTCCCATTTTCCCTATATATGGCAACCTCTGGGACATCTTGCACAAGAGCTTCTTAGAACAGACACAAAGAACAAGAGAAACTACCTAGTTTAGTTAGGTCTCCTTTCTTCTCGTTAAATTAACTCTTAATCTCTTTATTCTACATAATTAATGACATGTTATTTCATGTGAAGTTTAAATAAGCTCATGAAAACAACAGCAGATTAAAATCCACCAACTAAAAGTAGGGTTTGCAATACTAGGGTCAAGAAACTTACAAGTGATAGTTGAAACTGAGGTAGGATATCCAACAAACTAAAAACCACACTTCATAGAGCAGCTCAACACAGGAAACCATTCAGCTTAGTGGGAAGCAGTTTGTGCCACAATTAACCTTAGGTTATCCCTGGATCATGTCACACTTTAACAAGCAGCACTCAAATATTTAAAATGAAAGACTTGGCTTATGAGAGCACATGTTCATCATCTAGGGCAGTGGTTCTCAACCTTCCTAATGCCGCGGCCCTTTATTACAGTTCCTGTGGGTCACGACCCACAGGTTGAGAATCGCTGATCTAGAGCAATGCACTGTGGTCCCTCAGATTCCTGCCACGATGAAAATGCTCTGTGATACTCCATCCAGGGGCCATGAGCCACATGTTGCCATTGAGTACCTGAAATGTTGCAACTGTGACTGAGGACTGACTTTTAATTCTTTATCTGCATTAACTTTCTCCCTAATACTTAAGAATCAAAACTAAATAGTCTCATGTGTCTTGTGGCTAGCCAATGGCACAGTGCAGATATACAGAATTCACTCAGAGGCAATTCCTCATCTCTACAGAAAGCTGGATTAAGTGCTGTCTTCTTAACCAGTCTCTAATCAAAATTTAGTAACTTTAGGGTGGCACCTGTGGCTCAAAGGAGTAAGGTGCCAGCCCCATATGCTGGAGGTGGCAGGTTCAAACCCAGCCCTGGCCAAAAACTGCAAAAAAAAAAAAAAAAAAAAAAAAAAACCTTAATAACTTTAAGACTTCTTAAATGCAAGAAGGAAAAATGTGTAATAAAAATTGATACCACTTTCCTTTAGTAAAATCATCCCTAATACATTTCAAAATGTCCATTAAACTCACTTTCAACTGGCTATAATTTAATACACACCTTATATTTCCACATCAACAAATACTTACACATTGTCTTCCAGGCAGATTTTGGGTCCCACAACATTGGCCGCTCCACTTGCCATTTTAAAAGCAAAATGCTTCTCAGGGCAAGCTTTTGAAATTCCACATTTATATCTGGGAGGCTTTGTAGCTTCAGGATAGAAAAATATTATTTTTTTCTTTTAGAAAATAAGTTAATAGAGTGTATCTTAGTCCCGCCTCCCCATCTCAAACCACTAAGGGCATTATGTGAACCATCAAGATAAACCTATTTTAAAATATATTTTTATCCCCTGAAGGTTTCCAAGAACCTCAAAAAAAAAAAAAAAAAAACAAAATAAAACACAACAAAACCCAGAAAGAATCTTTTAGGAAACAAGCTAATAATTGGCATAAACTGATCAATATGATCTTGAAGAGGAGAAATATATTTCATCTAATTATTTTTTAGTTTATTTTTAAATTTCAAGATGTGAGAGGTTCCAAATTGTTACTTCGCATTTCCAGTCCATATATGCACAAAAACATTTAGATCGTTAAAAAGTCTAGTGTTTCACTGACTATCTGCCCATGTTCAAGTTCTAGCCAGGAAATCTCCTTTTTACTACTCCTCCTTCACTTTCTGTACATACGATACTGGAGCTAAGAAATGTAAAAAAACAAAACATCCATTAGGAATAAATACCAAAAATACTGGCCTGGCCAATCAAATAGCATCTTTGTAACTTTAATAAGTAATTTCTCAATCATTGTTTGTTCACACTGAACTACTGACATTATTTAAATATAAGGTCTTATATGCCTAAAACAAGAGAGAATAAACCACATTTAAAATATTGAGATGCAAAAAGAAAATAATTAAATAAATAAAATTTTGAGATGAGATACTCACAGCGGGCACCTGGGTCCAGTGGTGACCTTGCTAAGGAAAAGAAGTTACATTTGTCAGAAGGAATAAGCCTATTGACAAGTATCCATTTTTAAAACATATTTAAAGCGTCAGACTGACATATAAAAATACAAGTGCTTGAATAATTGCTCAGTATAGAATAAAAAAAAAACATGAATGTCAGTTCAGGGAAAAAGAAAGTTAACTTTGTGCTGCACAATTCATTACCAATTACACAGAGAAATCAGGAAGGTAGTATTCTGTTATTGCTAGAACAGTACTATTTTTACCATCACCTTTTGTTTCTATATTTGGTTATTATAAATTTAAAACTCAACCAGAAAGGTTACCCTACAAACTTACTTTATACCTCCTTGGTGACCATTATGACCTTTAAAACCTGTTACAGCTGTATGGTGGTGTGTGCAATGCAAATAAAGCCCCAAACAGCATACATAACACCTATCTTAGTGGTTGGTACTCAAAGTTTTATAATTTATCAGTTTGAGAAATCAAGAAAGTCAAGTCTTAACTTGAATGCAACAGTCTTCAACCTGACCATCAATCACAATTACAGTGAGTGCTTTTAGAAAGCACTAATATCTGATTCTGGCCCAGGAGATTATAACTCAGCTCATCACAGTATCGCAGACAGCCATTTCCTGATTTGGCTAATAAGTACGCAGTGTGATAAATGTTAGCCAGCTGTCTGACTATAAATAGTCACATGGTTTTTAATTCTGAGCTATTTTAGATAATTGTGAATTTCCTGTAAATCCAATACCCAAACTGATAAACAGAAAGTTAAAGCTAAAAGATTTTATCTATATGTTAAGAAGAAAATGACCAAGTAAATGATCATTAAGTCAATAGAACATTCAATAGAAAACTACACAGTATTAAAGTCATAAAGGCAATATAGATAACACAGAATAAAAATAAAGCAGAATATAAACTTTTATTAAGAAACATAGTCTCCCTCTGTCATGCAGGCTAGAGTGCAGTGGCATACTTCATAGCTCACTGCAGCTTTGAACTACTAGGCTCAAGTGATCCTCCTGCCTCAGCCTCCCAAAGTGCTGGGATTATGGATGTGAGCTACCATGCCCAGCCAAAAAACAAACTTTATCAACACTCAGTTAAAAAAAACAAAAAAACAAAAAAACAAAAAAACCTTACTGGAATACAATTTTGGCAAGACCAGTTTTTAAATCATCAGGCTTTTAAGTAAATAACACCACCTCCTTTTAATTCATGTAAGAATAAGGAGAAAAGATGCTTTAATGTGAAGAAATGTTTGTGAAAGAATTCAGATAAATGCTCATGCTCATTTTTATCCAATCCTCAACAACACTAAAAGGCCTGCAGTTCTGAAAGTGCTCGGGCCTGGGGGCTGAAGAGGCAAATTAATTTGCATAAATAAATAGGGTGTTGTCCAAGTGTAGAAGGCAGGCAGGGTGCACAGACACAAAAATCCTCTTCTTCTGCAAGTTTCCCCCTCAAAATATCCTTACATTCTAGTGCAAGGAACAATAATTTCAATAAGTCAGACTAAAGAATCAGAATTATTTTGTACTTTAGTTTTTAATAAGGTTGTAAATGATTTACGTATATACTACTCATCGATGGTTTAAAACTGAAAACGTATAAAGAAATAAACTCAATAGAACATTACTTACTACAATATATGAGAAAATAATGTGGATTGTATTCAGTACATTTCCTAGGTAAATATTCATGCTACAGACACACGCTACACTAAATCACAATCCTCAGTGAGACTGGCGGGTTGTGTCCATGTTGACATCCTGTGACACCGTATGATGGTTTTATAGGATGACACTGAGTTGTGATCTGAGAAACTGAGTAAGGGTATGTAGGATTCTCCCTGCATTATTTCTTAAAAATGCATATAAGTCTACAATATTCTCAAAATGAAGTTTTATTAAAAATTGCTTAAAAAATCACAATTAATATACTCTGGTAATTTTAACTACTAAATCATGAACAAAATTTTCATTATTCCTTTCTAGAAATAACTTTTACTTTTCTAAAACGATACTACATAATAAACCTAAATCAAAATGATTTATATGCCATCAAGTACGTTATTACAGCAGTAAGTTGAAAAGATGGAAATCTCACCACCAAAAAAACTGCATTTAACCTTACTGGTCTCTAAGGTATTGGTTATGGTAACAGTCCTAATGCTAAATTAAACCTGTTACCCCCTTTGGCATAGTAAGTTAGCTGGTAAACAAGTGGCAAAGATAGCCATCTATCCATCTTTGCTAAGATACTCTGAATGAGAATTAAAATAAACTCTGACAAATTAAACTTTTGCCAATGCAATAATTTAGACTCCAATAAGGCTGTATACATAAGAATGTACTACTTCAATTATGACAATCAAAATATATCATCTGTCCTAAGAATGCCTAAATCAAATAGCTAAACTATACACAGTAAAACCTGGCAGGTTCCTAACATGAAGAGAAATAAAAATCAGGAGGCACAACTATCCTGGATAAACTAGCTCAGTGCTTGCCTATCACTGACTTCCAGTGATTTTCCAAATAATACAGCTTAAAATGAATCTCAGTCTGGAAATACTCTTCCCATATAAAAATCCTAACCCTCAGTTACCTACATTTATTTTCAATTAGTATTTACTACCCACAGGGCCCAGTGTTAGACAGATGCTGGGTGAAGCACCAAGATATAATTGCTATAAGGTTCATTCTCTGCTAAGGGGAAGAAGACAGACACATGAAAAAGAAAGAGAAGAAAAATGCTATGATGTAAGGCATAATAAAATTAGGAATTGAAATATAAGGACTACACAGACGGAACAGCTCAGGAAAAGAGCAATACACTGTAATAGGAAAAGGCGGCAATTCAAGCACAGTTTCTCTAAGGAAGAGGGATTTATGCAGAGTTTTAAAAAACAAAAGTTAACAGATTCCTGTTAATCTCCCCCTCTTGGGGGAGGTGGGAAAGATGCACAGGGGAAGGACCCAGCAAGAGCAAAGGCTGCGGCAGGAAAGGACAGGGAGGATTTGTGTCCACAGGCTGCGTGCAGAACACAGAGCAAGTGTGACCCTGGAGGGAGGGAGGGTCGAGAACAGCTGAGAAAGGCAGGCTGGGGCTTTGGGTGCCACCTCAGGGAGTTTGGGTTTCATTCTCCAGTAACTGGAAGTACTAAAGGTTGCTGAGTTCTAAGAGAATGGCACTTGCCGGTGGAGATAGGCAGATAGCAAAAATGTAAAAGAGACATAAGGACACCATTATGATGTTGATTATAAAAACAGTACGGACCAGACATAAATATCCAAACTGGGACAAAGATGGGGGGAAATTGGGTGGGGACAGACACGAGCAGTATTACTGGGAGAGAGTCAGTAGTGGCACGTGTACAATGACTGGGCCACGCGAGGCTTCACCCAGCCTCTTCACTCTTCCTTTTAAAAACAATGGGCCTTTTCCCAAAGTAATTTTCTCTTTGTACCAATGGTCCTGCTGCCTCCCTTCTCCAGAGGACCCTCCTTTCCTTGTCTATTCAATCTCTTTTTAGTTTGCAATTCACTAAACTTTCACCCAAAGAAGTGAAATGCTCTCTCCATTACTTTAAAGAAGAAAAAAATGTACAATGGGCTTGTGTCCAGCTACCACCTCATAACCTCATTACCTAACCATCAACATCTCTTAGAAAAGTTAGCCACATACATGTATATTGTTTCCAGAGCAACACAGAAGTTCTGAGTACCTTCGATACCGCTGGTGTCTGCCCCATCATTCAACCGAAGCCAAGTGCGATCTCAAAGAGCACCAGGTTGGCCATCAGGGTGTAACAGAAGTAGTCAAACCAAAACAAGTTAAGTCTCACTACACTTTGCAATAACCATTTTATGCTGGATCTTGGATACTTCTTTTAAGATAGGTACTGAACAACAGACAGGTTTGGGGGGAAAATCACCACTGCAGCAAGAGGAACGGCTGAAAGGAGGATTCCACTACAGGAAAAGACAAAAAGTTACAAAGAGAAGGTCTGAAAGACTATGACTACAATTTAAGTATCTGGGAGATCAAAGATGCAGAAGAGATCTCCGCCAAAAGAAACAAAATCAGTGGATTGAAATTACTTGGAAATTCAAAAGGCAGAATTCCACGCCAGAGTTAAGTAAGGGTCCTTTATCCAAAATGCTTGGGATCAAGTATTTTGGATTCTTTTCAGATTCTGTAACATTGGCATTATACTTTCCAGCTGAGCATCTCTAACCTAAAAATTGTAAAGTGCTCCAGTGAACATTTCCTTTGAGCATCATGTCAGTGCTCGAAGAGTTTTGAATTCTGAAGCATTTCAGATTTTGGATTTTCTGATTAGGGATGCTTGACCTTTACAAGGAAGTACTTTTAAGTAGTCACTATAAGAAAAGTCACCTGGAAATGTTTACACAGAAACATGCATACACGATCTAACAGTCTAAGCCTTGATACACAGTATTAGCCCATGTGATAGGAACATCAGCAGCGGGTGGGAGCTTGTCAGAAATAAAGGTCCTCAGGTCCCGTTCCAGACAGGAATAGAGTCTGCATTTACAAAGGTTCTCTGCAGATTCTTTTGACATTAAACTTTCAGAAGCATTGATACAAGGGAGTCTTGAGATTAGATACAAGAGGGAGTGAATTAGGTCTTGAGAATCTCTTTCAAACTTAAATTTATGGAAAGCAAAACTCACTGCTCTAGAGATCTCAAATTTTCTTCATTCAAATGCTGCCAACAAGGTCAAAATACTGTTTCTAGGGTTTCTCATCTTTCATACTTATTTAATATCTTAATACCAAAGTCAAAGCTTATTCAATATAAGTACAAGGGTCTATGAAGAATATCAACAGGTTCTCTAACTTAAAATAGTAAAGGCCTATAAAAACAGGCTCCAGAGCTTCAGAATTACAGTCACATTCCACCTAATGCTTCAGTCAGTGACAGGCAGCACATTCGTTGGTGGTCCTGTAAGATTCTAATATCCATACTTTCACTGCACCTTTTCCATGTTCAGAGGCTCAGATACTTACCATTGTGTTACGAGTGCCTACATATTCAATGTGGTAACATGCTGTATAGGTTTGCAGCTGAACAACAATAACTATACTACAGAGCCTTGGTGTGTAGTAAGCGCACCCTCTAGGTATGTGTAAGTACACTCTGATGTTTGCACAACAAGCAAATTGCATAATGATGCAATTCTCAAAAAGTATCCCCATCATTAAGCGATGCATGGCTGTTATTTTATATACAGCCTTAGGTAAGTAATTACTTATCACTTAAATATGTAAACATTAAATTCTGTTCTTCATTATTATAATGGCATACTTACAAAAGAGAAATGCATACTTGACAATTATTTGAGATTCAATGAGATATTCATATAGAACCCACCTAAAAGAGCATTATATTGCTTAGTGGCTATGAAAACATTACAAATGTACATTACTTATTTTATTAACTTAAAGATTCTGTTAAAAATTGGGTAAAGGTAGCATATAATGGTACATACACAGTATAGCAATTCTAAATACATGAGTAAAAAGAAAAATGCCACAAAGGGAAAATAAGGGCAGGAAAAAAAAGAAGAAAATGCATTACTGTGACTTCTAGTCACTTGGAAACTGAGGGCTAGATTTGGCTAGCAGCCAGCTCACATAGGAAAATAATTTAAGCTTGGAGATGTTATATCTATGACACAACATGCACTTAAAACCTATGTTTAACTCCCCTAAACATCTATAAAACAGACTCATTTATATGTTCGAATGTTGAATAAGAGATTTATGCTTTATACTGAATTCCATGACTTCTTATATATTTTAGAATTCTCTAATGAATCACACTTGCTGATATAATGACATTTCCTTTTCTAGATAAAACAGCACAGTGACCCAAAGAACTGATAAAAACAACCACACCAAAATAAGATCTAAGAAATGAAACAAATAAAACTTACCAAATAGATTTCCTAAACTTGCATCCATTTTAATTTCAAATACTTGAGAAATGACATAAAATGTTAGTAAAAATACTGCCACAGCTACCACCAGCTTCGCAGCACCTAGGTAAAAGGCAGAAATAATTTGGTATAAGCTTAGAAGCCACCAGAGCTTTTGTTAATGCATTTCTATAAATTAATGCATTAATTCTATAAATTAAGAAAAGAACTAAGATGAGTAAGTTTCTATTTTTTATTTATTGGGTCTTAATGTTACTTGAGTTACAACAAAAACAATTCAAGAGATCTTCCTGATCAAAGACATCTCAGATTGGCCAGCTTTCTAGACCTAAGACTGCTGGAGACATCTGTCTGTGGCTAGCTAACTACATGGAAAGTGCCATGGGTGACAGAACACTACCGCCAAGTTTGTCAGATGATGCATTCCTAGTTCTTTTCAAATATAAGAAGCAGGACTATACAGGGAAGTCACCAAAACACTGACCTTCTGGAGATACTAAGGCCAGGATGTTCACTAAGCAAGCAGTTCTCAAGTGACGTGAAACAGATTCAGCCAACGTTTTAAACAGGGGGCCAGTTCACTGTCTATCAGACTGTTGGAGGGCCAGACTGTGTGCCCCAGGATGAGTCAGCTGCTAAGCGGGACAGGCAGTGGCGACAAAAACACCCAGTGGGCCAGATAAATGTCCTAGGCAGGCTGCATGTGGCCCGCAGGCTGTAGTTTGAGGACGCCTACAGAAGCCCTCCTGGCCAGGCAAACGACAGTCTCCCCTCATACTTAATAGGAGTTTACGACAGGCCCTCTCACTCCCTGCAGGGCATAATTTGGCATCCATCACACATGCTTCAGAATGTGGTCAAATGGAAACTTCCATATGTTTACATTTTTAATTATGTCTGAATGTCATATAAATAGCACTGACTCTACTGCTCAACGTGAATCATTTCTTGTCCTCTTTCTCCACAGCTAAACAAATCTAGGGAAACAGAAGTGTAGGATGGGAAAGGAAATGGAAAACGAGAGGAAAGAAATAGTTCCTCTTACCCTTGGGATTTCAGCAGGATCACATTAGCTTATTCAGAAATATTAATTATTTGTTGGTACAATCTCCATTCTCCTCCCTTACTAACGGTTTGTGTTTATATATAATAGGTAGAGAGAATGAGCAGTTATCTCATTATCCTTGAGGGAAAAAAGACTCAGAAGTGACATAAAAAAGGCCCAGATAAATCAATGGTAGTGCAAAGAATGGAACCCAGGGACCCTAACAAACCCAGAAGTTGGTACAGTACTTCATTCCAAAACCAAACTACCATATTCTTCTGAAAAACTAACCAGCTCAACTTACTGGGTAAGAAGAGTAAAAAGGAAATATGTTCATTCTAATTTCATAAACCTAAAGAGATCAGACTATATCCTTGGAGGAGAGGACAGGAAATGAACTGATCATCTCAGAAAGACTGAGCTTGATGGCCATGTTTGTGGGGAGAGGCAGTATGGGGAAAATCTCTGTACCCGTCTTTCAATTTTGCTGTGAACCTAAAACTGCTCTAAAAATAAAAATAAAGTCTTAATATAGAAATGATGTGGAAGTGAACAACAACAAATTGCCTACATTTTTAATGCATAAATAAGAAAAATTTAAGCTTTGAAATCTTGCCTCCAGGACCTAGCAGAGTGTCTTTTACCAGTAATCTCTCAGCACCTACTTGCTAAACAGATGAATGGTAACAGGTGGCATATTCCTTCCTGATCATTTAAGACTAAGACCAAGGAGCCTGAAGATTCTATGTCACACGGCAGTCTTACTGTCTTATTCTCTAGCAATCACAGGCACATGCAACCCGAGATAACCGTTCCCTGTTGCATAAAGCAGACACATGAAACGTTCGTTGTTAAAGACTCAAAATATTAAAATGATTCAAATATCAACTTTATAACTTGAAAGTTCTAACTTCTATACCAAGCTAAACCTGAACCTACACTCATAGAGCTATATAAATATACAGCTACACTTATATATACACATGTATATACAGAATACACACTCACATATACCATTTACTGAATGCCAACTGTAGAGTTAAATGCTTTACAAACATAGCCTCATTTGCATAGTTTTTCAAGATATTTTCATTTTACAAATGAGAAAACGAGGCTAAAATGTTAGATCAGGGCTTATCTAAAGTCTGATAACTAGTGAGTGGTACCACTGAATCTTAAAGCAAGACTTAGTCACTCACGATGGACCACCAGAGGAGCTAGGAAGAAAATTAGCAGTAAGGAAAAGAAAAGTTAGAGAAAATTAGCAGTAAGGAGGAGAAAAGTTAGAGCAGTAAGGAAGAGAAAAGTTAGATCAGTAAGGAAGAGAAAATTAGCAGTAAGGAAGAGAAAAGTTAGAGCAGTAAGGAAGAAAAAAGTTACCACCACAGAGGGTCTGTGATGGTAAAGTTCTACAACTTGCTACAGAGGGTCTCCCCAAAGCTGACCAGAACCAGCACCCAATTCTGGAGCTGGAAGGGTGCAACCCTCCCACACCACAATTCCCTCTCTTCACTTTGCACGAGATTCCTTCCTCCTAACCATGGACTGAGCTAATATGAGTGTATCCCTATTTCTCACAAACCAAAAAGCATGAACGTCAGGCAGATGCCTCACCGTAAGAATAATAGCTGTAAGGATATTCCAAGGCAATTATATTTTTTCTAAAATTAGGAAAGATTAAATAAAAGCAATAACTTATAGATAATCTTCCCTACTCATTCATTAATGGCAGTCCCTCAAGACCCATACCAAGGAACAATGCCAAGCACACAATAAGCACTCAGTGAATAATTACTCATCAATTAACCTCAGAATTAATTGTCAAAATCAGAGAAATGGACTAAATGATAAAGTTCATTTCAACCTGAATGAATTCAGATTTATGTAAGAAAGAGAAACTTGCTTTGATCATTTCAAATCTCCATGCTTAAACAATGTACATTAAAAATCATTTGGAGTCATAAATAGTGAGACCCACTCTACTCAAAGATCATCTTAAAAAATTGCAATGTGTTTATTTAAACTATAAATAAGCTCTTGGTTTCTGTGAATATTTTTCTTCAACAATTGTACAGCTACTTTTATAAAGATGCTTTATAATTTCACAACAAGGAGATTCAGTTTTTCAAATTCCAACAAAAGTATCTGTAATGACCCTCAGTTACTTTGTTTAAAAATTGTGATGTTTAATCAACTGTGCCTGATTATATACAATTATGACCAAAACATGAAGACGACTTGTTTGTTCACCCAGCTTGACTTTAGGCACTCCAAAGAGATGCTCCCAAAGGAAGATATCTAGTTTGCTGGTTAGAAGATGGTAATTAAGAGAAACACTAATTATCTCTGAGAAATTACAAATTATCTCGTACACTGGGCACACACTTTGTAGAAATTTCGATGTAAAATGTGCATTTCTCCTAAAACTTTGGATGAATGAGGGGTGAGGAAACATACTTACTTTTACTACACAGGCAGGAAGAGGTCAGCAGTCCTTCCAACTATTTGTGAATGTGTGTCTTTTTACAATGTTCAAAGATAACTACCTTGAAAACACTGGTGTTTTTCAATTTCCTCAGTATGCTACTTAATGACCAAATTAATGCCCTTACACATAACCTCATCTATACCACTGAACTGGAACTAAGCAACACAGAGCACAAAAGCAAGTATTTTACTGAATCCTTCACACGGCAGGTCCTCTAACGGCACTGTTTAGTTCAATGCCATTTTGTTCCATGTTGATGTCACCTGAAGTCATAGGTTCCAGGAACCTAAGGACGACGGTAAGTAAGGACTAATGATACTACACTTTTTATCATTAGAGTATACCCCTTCTACTGAAAAAGAAAAAGTCAGCTGCAGAACAGCCTCAGACTAGTCCTTCAAGAGATAATTCACAAAGTTATCACTGGAAATGAGAGATCCAGGCATGTTACTGCCCCTTGTTGACCTTCCAGTGAACAGGACGTGGAGGAGAGAACAGGAAATGAACTGATCATCTCAGAAAGACTGAGCTGGATGGCCATGTTGGTGGGGAGAGGCAGTATGGGAGAAATCTCTGTACCTTCCTTTCAATTTTGCTGTGAACCTAAAACTACTCTAAAAATAAAAATAAAGTCTTTAAAAAAAACCCATTCTATTAACATAGAAAGGATGTGGACGTTAACAACAAATTGCCTACATTTTTAATGCATAAATCGGAAAAATCATTTCCGTTTTCAGCAAAGTTTAAAAAGAAAACATTTAAGTTTAAAAAACATAAAAAGCATATACAAGGAGAATCAGACTATAAACAAAAGATTTTCGTACAGTTTACAATGTGTTTTAAGCAAAGTATTATTAAAAGAATCAAAAAGTTAAAAAGTTGAAACTATCTTCTACTTGTATTTATAAATATTAGTTGTCTATTTTTTTGAGACTTTGGAAAAACAAATGCCCCATTTATCTTCAAACTTGAAATATTTCTGTATAGAGACCTTACAGTTGCTTAGTAAACATCAATGTTCAAAAAAAAGAAGTTTATAAAGCAAAAACGTTAGAGTAAGCTGAAGTTGATTTATCATTGAAGAACAAAACCTTTATAAATTTAGTGTGGCTTAAGTGTACAGCATTTATAAAGTTAACAGTTTACGGACACTAAGCCTTCATGTCCACCCACCACTGACTCACCCAGAGCACCGTCCAGTCCTGCAAGCTCCATTCATGGTAAGTGTGCTATATAGGTGAGTCACTTTTTTTTTTTTAATTGTTTGGAATTCATTGAGGGTACAAAGAATTACATTACAATGATTGCATTTGTTAAAGTCCCACTTATAATTATGTCCTGCCACCAAGAGGTGTGTCATATACTGTGATCCCTCTCCCTCTCCTGGCTTCCTCATTCCCCTACCTCACCCCTTGTATTAGATCATCTACTGTCCTCATATTAGAATTGAGTACATTGGATTCTTCCTTCTCCATTCTTGACTGAGAAGAATGTGTTCCAGCTCCATCCAGGTTAATACAAAAGATGTATATTCTCTACATTTTTAATAGCTAAATAGTATTCCATGGTGTATATATACCACAGCTTGTTAATCCATCACTTTTTATCTTTTAGAAGACTGTGCTTTTATGGTACCTTTTCTGTGTTTAGATATATAAACACTTACGATTGTGCTATAACTGTCTATGGTATTCGGCACAATGTAACCGAGGAGCAAGAGGCTGTGCCATACAGCACAGACGTGCAGGAGGCTGCACCATCTAGGGGGGTGTAAGTGCATGCTAAGTACACGCAATGATGTCCACACAAAAATGAAATCCCCTAAGGACCCACTTCTCAGACTAGATCACCATTGTTAATCAATACATGGCTGTATTTTTAGGCAAACAAGATTAGGGTATTAGAACATAAATATTAAAATCATAACATAAAATATTCAGCAAAACTAGAGGCTGATCATCCCTTATCTGAGGTGCTCAGAACCAGCAGTGTTTCAGATTTCAGACTTTTTTTGATTTTGGACTATTTGCAGTATACTTCCCAGCTGAGCGTTCTAAATATGAAAATCTGTACTCCACAATGGCTGCATGAACATCTCCATACATATCAGTCCTCAGAAAGTTTCAAATTGTGGGACATCTCAGAATTTTAAGATGTTCAACCTATTATTTCAACAAAAGATTTGTCCACAAATGTTTACATAATACTAAATCTTTGATTTGCCAATCTTTGATTTCCAAACTATCTAAAAAAAAAAAAAAGACTAAATAATGATTTAGATTACTCTATTCCTGCTTTGTGCTCAATATAAAGAAAAATTAAATATTATTTACCCTTGCCTTTAATCATTACTTACCCAATAGGTTACACAAAAAGCAAAATGATTACTATTCATTTAAATATCTTACCTGCTACCCTCATGTTTGATTTTTCAGTCTATGGCGTTTTTCATTAAATATGCTCCTAAAAAAACAACAAAAAAAGCAAAGATGGTTAGGTCTAGAATGAACATTCCTCCTTAGATTGAGTTTGGAGTGTGAATATTAAATTAAATAAATGTTTTGATGCCTCTAAGCATTCCAATACTGATATTTAATTAAAGAAACTCTTAGCAATAGACTTGTGTTTTTCCACCAGATGGTACAACTTTAAGAGGAGGGTCTGTGACTTATCATGCTATGTCCTAACTGAATGAACAATAAGTAAAAACCTGCCATCAGTCGGGGGTGCCTGTGGCTCAGTGAGTAGGGCGAGCAGGCTCCAACCCAGCCCCAGCCAAACTGCAACATGTATCACATAATGAAATTGAAATATAATTTTCAAAACTGCTGGGCTTTGTGGCATGTGCCTGCAGTCCCAGCTGCTCGGGAGTCTGAGGCAAGAGAATCACCTACCTAAGTCTAAGAGCTGGAGGTTGCTGTGAGCTGTGACACCACACCACTCTACCAAGGGTGACAAAGTGAGTCTGTCTGTTAAAAAAAAAAAAAAAATCTGCCATCAAGCTAATAAACAGAACATAATACCTTAAGTTAGTCTCAGTGATTATGCACCTATAAGGAACTTTTGATATTTAGTTCCAAAACTTCAGTTTACAGACGAGGTCCAAAGAAGTTAAGCTCCTTATCATGATGAAATGTGGTTAAAATTTAGGTTGGCTGATTCGCTTTAGTACATGATGCCACTTCATATTTGACATGACACAGCGCACATGTCCCTACAATAAGCATTCATAACAAAGGTTTATTCTATTACCAGGGACCTCTTTTCATATTTTTCAATTTAAGTTTGTGAAATAATATATTCAGGAATGCTGAATTGCAATTTTAAATATCCTGGCAATTATCATTATTGAAACAATATATATATTTTTTGAAACAGGGTCTCACCCCATTGCTCAGACTAGAGTGCTATGGCATCATCACAGCTCACTGCAACCTCAAATTTCTGAATCCAATTGCCCCTCTGGCCTCCATCTCCTGAGTTTCTGGGACTCGGACCATAGGTACACAAGCACCACCATGCCCAGCCAATTTTCCTATTTTTTTGTAGAGATAGGGTCTCTATGTTCCTCTGGCTGGTTTCAAACTCCTGACCTCAAGCAGTCCTATCACCTCAGCCTCCCAAAGTGTTGGAATTAACAGGTCTGAGCCACTTTGCACAACTGACAGTGCAATGCTAATACATGAAATAAAAGAACTGTTCTTGGATATCACTTAAATATCAATAAGAAACAGATGCTGGAAAAAAAAATCCGTATCTATGTTTTCTTCCTCAGAAATAATTCAAGATAGGCAAATAATTTTATTTTATTTTTTAATTTGAGACAAGCTCTCTCTGTTGCCTAGGCTCAAATGTAGCTGCTTCATTAACATATGCAAAATTTTTAAAAGGAACTGAAAAAGCAAATGAGTTAAATGGAAAAACCATACCGGAGTTTAGCAGGGCAGTGCCTACAGTCAACTCAACTTATTGTAAAGGAATGGAATTCAAAAGAAAATTTTAATTAGTGACTCACATTAGCCAGCAATACATTTCTCTGTTTTAGACTCAATTTTGATACTTATGTTTCAATGTCTTTGTGTGACACATGTATAGTAATTCATAGAATGCTTCCAATAAAAATAATGGACACCCCTGAAGAACCCTGAAAAATAAGAGATACAGTTTTGCGAGACGCCCGGTTTTCTTATTCAAGGGAATAGGCAGGGGCTTGGGGGGTGGTCACGGACAGCACTCATGTGCTAGCTCCCTTGCCTCTGCGCAGTCTACCTGAAGAACGGAAGAACACGTTAACTGAGTTGTGTGTTATTGACTTCTTTCCCTTTGTTAATTATCTGAACACCTTCCACATAATAGGAAAGTTGATGTTATATATATATCCATTTAAAATAACTACTTAGCCTTAGGCTAGAAAAATAAAAGGAAACAAGAGATACTCTGGTATTTACAAACCATCACATACACAAAAAAGCAAAGAAAAAAGTTCTCAGCTTTTCAAATGAAAACCCCAAAAAGGTTATAAATCCTCTTGGGCTTCCAACAAAATTAAACTCTACTTTTACAACAAACACACGTCTTTCCTTCCAGCTAATATTCCAAATGACCTTACTTGTATCTGAGTGTGGCCTACGAAAACTTCCCTGAAATTGTGACGAGCAGTTTGGCCGCAGATACTGGTTCTTATTTCAGTTTCCTTCCCTCCTGAGGTCACACCTGTATAATTACAGTCACTGCCTCATATACCTGCAACCAGCTGGCACCCGCCTTTCTGAAGTCATCATTACTAAGCCCACAATGTAAGCAACTACAATTGTCTAGCTGAATACAACTGTTTCCTATTAAAACTTCTCAGGGAATTAACCTTAGTAAAATCTCATGAAATTATATCTCAGCCATAACACACCTCTAATTAATTTGCTTAAGAAGAAAATTAATGATGCAAAAGTATCAATCAGCATAAAGAAAGCATACTGGATATACCTGAGAGCAAAACAAGGAACATCTATTTATGAGGATGATGTGCTAATTCTAAATCACTCCTGACCTGTCTTCTTAGGAGGAGATTTAAAAACAGAGAAAATCTTTATATGTACTAATCCTGCTGGGAGGAGAATCAAAAACTTAAGAGAAACCTCAGACTGAACCACCAATAATCAAATGGGAATCGAACAGGTCCAAAGAAGAGGAATAGTAAAAGGAAAAAATATAATAGTAAAAGGAAAAAAAGACCTTCGCTCTTAATTAAGAACTCTAAATCTAAAAGCAACAGGTGAAAGGATTTGTAACATTCTATATATAGGGGGGACTTAAAGTTCACGTGCAATTTAAAATTGCACACTATTATAAATTGCACACAAACTTTCTTTATCAAAAGGTAGAAATACAGAGCCATTTACCAAAACCAGAATATTAGTGAAGAATATTTTTTGGACAGATTAAAAAAAATTCAGAAACTTTTGTGAAATGCATTTGCTTCAAAAAATGTCATATAGGCTAAAATAACAGGTTTCAGTGTTTACATATGAATATATAAGTAGACCCTCCATAGCTGACCACCTCCTTAAACTGACCTAATTTTCAGACCAGACATGCACATGTACCTGTCAGTATAGTAGGCCTAGTTCCTTATGTTGATCACCTCCATATGTTGACCATTTTACAGTGCCTGGGGTGGTCAACTTATAAAGGTTCTACTGTATTACAAATGACTGAACCAAATCAGACTATTAATAGGTAAGGTGCATAATCAATCACTGGAGAGTCACAGCAAGGAGGGCCACCATGATGCCCTGGGCAACCAAACAATGAACTGGGTAAACGTAAGTGATCTAGTCTCGTGCAGGGAGCCTAATCTAGAACCTCAGACAGACATACCAAATTTCATTAAAGGTTTTACAATTTAAACCGTCTGATTTCATGAAATTTTGTTAGTCAAGTAGAAATCAGGCTACTGTGTGAATAAGAAGGGCATTCTTCTAGAATCAATTAACTTCAAGAACAAGAGAGCATGGGTCAAATGATACTGCCACACTTTCATTGAGAAGTAGACTAGATTGGGTAAATTTCAAGAACATTACTCTGTATCATAAAGTAGGTCATAAAAAACAACTGCTTACTAGGAAGGAAATGTCTTGCCAGTTAACAAAAACTAAGTAGTAATACAGACAGACAGCAGAGTAATTCACGTACATTCTTATTTCATGGAATCATTTCACCAGCCCTCAAGCGAGAGCAGGTATTATAACAGAATTACAAATGAGGTCAGGGGATTTGTCTAAGGTCATATGAAGGGTAAGAAGCACAAACTATGAACAAAACCACTTCGCTTCACTTTAGCTGCTTACAGACATACTGTAATAGAAGGTTTGCTGATACAATGCCATGCCAATCAGTTTGGTTTTTGCAAATTGCTCTATGAACTGATAATCTTTGCTTCAAACTAGCTACTCTGGAGATTTCAAAGTTTGGCAAAATGACTAAGATTTTGTTTTAGAATCCTTCCCCAACAGAAATGGTACAAGAAAATGAAGTGTACAAACACACCCATTGATACATGTATTTAGTATTAACGAGTAAACCAGAAAAAAATCTTTAAGTTATATACATACTTCACAAATATAAAGAAATTATCACTCAATTCAATCCAACTTCAGTTTAGTGGTAGCCTAATGACAATTTTAACTGAACCAATTGAATATGTTCAGATGAGTCTAATATCCCTGGGAACTGGGGCTTTGCAAGAGGACTATGAAAAAAGGTCAAAGTACAAACAGATAGATGTAAAGTACACTTAGGCCCCATGATGGCTAATTTTATGAGTCAGCTTGACTGGGTCACAGGACATCTATACCTTAAGTTAAACATTATTCTGGGTTTGTCGTAATGGTGCTTCTGAAGGAGATAAACATTTGAATCCACAGACTACGTAAAGCAGATAGCCCTGTCTGATGTGGGTAGACTTTATCCAATGTACCCCAGACCTGAATAGAACAAGGAAGGCCAAGTAAGGGAGACTTTTTGCTCTCTCTACCTGTCTTCAAGCTGGGATGATGCTTCAACGTTTGACTAGAACTACATCGTCTACTCTTCTGGGCCGCCAATTGTCAGCTACAAATCTTGGACTTCCCAACCTCTGTATCTATGTAATACATGATTATACGTAATTTTTATATATAATTACATATCACACTATAATTACATATCACATTATATACATTAACATATGACAAATTAAATGTCTATAAAGAGCTAGATTTAACTATATATAATTTACTATAAGAAATATATGTCTATATACCTAGATCTATACCTATCTATTCCATTGGTTCTGTTTCTTTAGAGAACCCAGACTAATAGACCCCCAAAATCAGAATGTAGGAAATTAAAATTTTATCCCCAGAGCATTTAAAGTAAAAGAGAAAAACAAGATAATACTGACATCAAAAGAATGCTAAAAATAGAAC